CATATCAAGATATTTTTTAAAGACGTTAATTTTAATCTAATTAACCATGTTCTACTATCAACGAGACGACTTTTTTCAATCGTCAACTGTCATTACTTAGGCAACAATATACCTTTTTCACCTGTACACGTGGTTTTGTATCTTTCAGTTGATTGAATACGCGAGAGCATGTTATATCTATGTACAGTTTCTAAACGAGGAACATTATTGACAAACTAAATGCTGAACATTATCAGCAATTTACTTTAATTTCATCATTTCCTAAGTGCTATGGTCGATACAGTGTGCTTGACAGAAAAACAATGTATTATAATTTGTTTAATGGACTTTTGAATTTGAAACTGTTAGTTATCTCCATTAGTTTCAAATTAAAGGTTACTCAAAATGATCATTAATCATATATTTTACTTCATTCCCTGGATATAAAATTATAGAGTATTCTATGTATGTATGTATGTATGTATGTATGTATAATGATTCCCCTACAACCGCCTTGTGAATTACGACCTTTTAGTGAACCCTGCGAAATGGACACTTAATTATTGTTTACAGATTAATCTTAGACAGGATTGTACTGATTCATAACAATACATTTCATATGCTAGTTCTCGACAGTCTTTTTTTCTTTTGAATTACATATAGAATTTCAAAGGGATACAAATATGCGTACATGTTTCATCTCTAAGGGAACGACTTATTCGTAGGTTTCATTTTCCCCTCAGATTTTTATAAATTAAATGAGTGTCAATAAATGTTTTTACTTCAGACATTGTTATTCATTTGGGCATTCGAATTTGTTTCTTCGATTATTCTGGTGAGTTAAATTCATTTTGTTTTCATTTAAAACTATAGGCCTGCTTTAAATGTTAATACAGATGACGTATATACAGTTAATACGTTAATGAGGAACTTAGATAACTAAATCAAAAAAGTCCTAAATATCAGGAACCCTGATCAGTCAACTGGTGTCAGACTTTCATAAATTTTTTAGATTCTGTAGAAGAAATATGAAAAAGACGTTAACACTTTGTCAGAATGGATTAAATAACCTAACAACCAATCCAACAATCTATGATAAACGTGATAACTTTTATTTTTCTATCGTCAACTTCCCTTACTTATAGTATGCACTAATATACCTCTATCACCTGCGTTTATTTATCTCAGTTGATTCGATACGCAAGAGCATGCTCTATCTATAAACAGTTTCTAAAACGAGGTAAATTATTGACAAACAAGTTGATGAAACAAGAATATCAGCAGTCTCACTTAAAGTCATCATTTCGTAAGTTCTTTGGTTGATACCATGATCTTGTCAGCAAATACAATTTTTCACAAATACGAATGCTGACTGACGTTTTTCATTATTATTGTTAGTCCATTATTTATACGCTGAGTTTGAAGACAGAAATTTCCGTTATTTCCCGATGATGACATGGAGCACAAGGCGGATTTGACCGGTCGGCAGGGGATGCTCACTCCTCAATGGCACCTGATTCCACTTCAGATGTTTCAGATTTCCGTGTTTGCTCTGATCCTATTTTGTATTGTTTTATAGACTTTGATAATGAAAACTGTTCTTTATCTTCATATCTTTCACAACTAGATTGTTAACATATACTCTTTAGTTGTTCATGAAGTTTTATTTTATTATCGTCTAAATGTCTTAAGTTTAAATTGACAAATTATATTTATTACATTTGAAGAGAATTTGCATCTTATACTCAATTCTTGGATTTATATATTTGATATTTTATCTATTTTATAGATAAATTAGATTGACATCATTGCTTTACAAAAACCCTTGAGGGAATGACGCACAATCACACAGAATCCTATTCGCAGACAACTCGGAGAATCTTTTCAACCTCTGTTTGCCTCTTAATAGGAACCCCTGCATTGTGATCAACGCGTTTGTTTTCATTATTCTGATAACAAAAAGAACCTTAAGAAGAAATACGCATCACCTTCTTGTTCTAATGTTGTCCTTGTGTGATTTTCTTGTTGGTCTTGGATACATTTCTTATGTCATCCAAATTAACGTTTCGAGAGATGGCAGATTTTCCATGGCCATGTGTATAATTAAAACAGTTTTTCTTATAAATGGTACCTTATTATCTCTACTTCAGACATTTCTAATTTCTTTACAAAGATACTTGGCTATTTGTCATACTTTGAGTGATCGATTGTTTCGTAACTATAGGAAATATATTGTTTGCCTTTTTAGTTGGCTAATGATACAGTGTAATGATTTTCACGTTTGGTTTGATTTCGCCTGTAGATTATCTATTGTCATCTTGTGAAATTCAAGGCATCTACGGGAAGCATTTTCTAATTTTTATAAATTTTAGTAAGGTAATTGTAACTTTACTTGTTTTGACAGTTGGATTGTATTGTGTAACTCTGCACTATGTTATCAAATCAAATCGAACAGTAGTAGCTAAGCCTTTAATTGGAATTAATTCTATAATAAATCCTGTAATATATTGCTCAAAAATTGAAAGTGTGCGTTCCGTTGTGAAAGACACTCTTTGTCATTGAAAAAAAAAATGTATGTCCTTTGATTTGAATTAAAACAAATATATTTTGTGCTCATTATATTGCGTTGAAATGGGTCATTTCGTACATGTACGATATAAAATAAATACGATGGAAGACGATGAATTTGATTCAGTAGCAGAATCGAATTACTATTATATTGTTTACAATGAAATATTTATGAAGATAACGAACATTATTCATGCTCAAAATATATGGAATGTATTCGAATTCGTGTATGCCTCATATAAGATCTCTAATAAGATGTTAGAAAGGCATTCTGATTCAAAAGGATATTCACAAGTCAAGTATTGCCTGGTTAAGCCTTTTCGACACCGCCAGTCTATAACACTAAATTGATCAAAACATTATTTCTAGATCTTGATAAATTCCTAGCCTATGTCTCGAAAATCACATGTTGTTTCTTTTAAAGGACAAACTTTCTTTCCTTTTCATTCCATATGCGATCTTTGTGTGTTCAGCCGAGTGAAACTGCTTGCCAGAGCAAGATTAATTGATTGTATATTGTTTAAGTTCCCTTTCGAGAATTTTTTACTCATATAGAGACGTCACAGTATGCCAGTGAAGGGCCTTATTTCTAGACCTATACTCGGTTATCAGGGTCATTGAACAGTGAAAGTTCTTTATCGTGCCAGTGCCTACCGTGACAGGGGTTCTACGTTTTAAGATCATATCCTAAAGACTTTTGACTTTTACTTTTATTGCCGAGCGCTTGCCGAAAGAACCTTCACTACCTATGTTTGCATATTAGGTTTGACGCGGCACCGCGAACGAAAATCAAACCCAGGCCTTCCGATCAGTCAGGGCAAGAAATCGACATTCTGCTGGATGATAAAGTATCTGAAAGCCTGGCAACATGCATCTGACATTATCTTGTTACTAGGTAATGGAATTTTATTGTTTCCTAATAAAAATAATGTAGATTTAGACCAAGACATAATGTGACTTCCAATACTGCTTCAAAGTCATAGAAATCAAAGGTTTGTATTGTAGGACTGGGCCAATGTTTTGTTTACTGGTTAATTAAAATTTCCTCCTGACTTCATTGACTGTCACTAGAGAGATTGTCTCTGGGATGGAAAGCAGTCCTCGGACGCTACAGAACAATTTAACGTTCGCAAATCATTGTTGCAGAACAATTATAGTTCGCAAGATAACTGTTTGGACACTAAAGAGACGTTTCAATGAATTTTGAAACACTTAAGATCCACGTTTCATTGATGTTAAAAAGCTGTAAACATAAAAAAAATATGTATTTCTAAATCATCGAACTGTTAAGTCAAAAAAAACCTTTTAGTTATTTTGGCAAAGATATTTGATTTTTTTTTTTGGGGGGGGGTCTTGTCATCATAATATTTTCTTAGTTTATGTATTTCAAATAAAAATTTAAAATACAAAACAAAAAAAAATGAAGAGAACACAAACTTTGTTTAAAAATCATGAACAATTAATAAATCTAAAAATTAAGATGTTAAGTAGTAAACTCTTTTTCTTATCGAATTTTTAAAGCAAATATATGCTGAAACGCAAAAGAAATGCAACAACCAGTAATCTACAAATATTCGAATTTTCTATCTAATGATTTTCAAAAAGTGAGTAGAGTAAGGCTTAACTCACTTTTCATAACATAAGAATATTGATAGGAAAATTAAAGGATTATCTTTAAACTTTAGATAGTACAATATGAATGTTAAACCATTCCCTCCCTTACATTCAATTAAAGCATTAAGACTGCCTTACAGAACAATTGCAGCTTAATTTCTACGATGCGATATGTTCATCAATAAAGATATCTGAGCGAAGGAAATGTTCTTTGTCATTTTAAATGCCCTTTTCTCAGATGATTAGGTCGAATTTTCTGTAACTTAGCCTAGTGTAGAAACTCTTGGACTACCGGTCCACAGACTGTCATTAATGCATATGATACGTTAGAGCCTGTTGAGGCAAAATGTAGTGAATTTTTGCATCTGCAACTCTCCATCACCTTTATTTTGAGATTCTCCCGCTAAAGCAATGGAATTGCTTACAAAAGTCATTTTCAGGAAGCCATAGTATTTCTACGGGAAACGAAAGGAGAATTTATATTTCGGAATATTGCTGCATTACTTAAGATAAACAGTTTCAAACCCTTTAAACACAGTAATAATTACCAAATGTTTTGTAAAACCTGCATTTTAAAAAAAAAATTTTGTTAAGCAGACTCAAACTTAACTTCCGGTTATGGCATGAAAATCGTTTAACCGTTAAATTACACATATTTACAATATTGAAGATATCCATAATTATAAGATACAAAATTCTTTACTATATATAATTATTTCCCCATACAATAGGATGTTGCTTTTCCTTTACAATTACAATTACAATTACATAATTTTAGTTTCTTCAATCTTTGTAGAGTGTAGAAATGAATTTTGAAACATTTTGGGCATACTTTAAAAAAATGTTTCTCTCAGCATTAGAAATCAAAGCTGAGATGACATTAAAATTTCTTGTGAGATCAAAATTTCTATATCACATTAGAATCTGTGTAGAGGTCGTGGTTTTTTAGTCGGTGGAAGAGGCCGAATCTTCTTGTCCCATCGTTTGAATCGTTTCCTTCTTTTCTTCTTCTCGTCCGACCAACGCTTCCAGAAAAAGAAACAGCAGATTGCAGTTGTGGCCAGTACGGACAGAGCGAGGGCGACTCCCACCATTGTGGGGATTATACCTGCAGAAGGTGCAACAAACTGTAGAAATTGTTAGTGAGGTCATGTTGCAACATATATCTATATTTGCTTTATAGCGAGCGCAGCGAGCGTCGCGAAGCGACGCTCGCGAAGCGAGCTCAATAGACTCACGTGTAAGAACAGAGGAAATTCGGATTGAAATCTGTACATACGTCAGCTAAATTTCTCTGTGCAACATTCCCAGAATTCCTGCACTACCCAATGTCCTTTGCGCGAATATTGCCGAATAAATAAATAAATAATAACGTAATGCATATATCAGGCTTTCAGTTTGTAGAAATCTTTCAAAGAAACAAGAAATAACTCTGCAATGTTTTTCGACAAAAATTGCACTAGTTCTATAGTTTCAAACAGACGCTCGGCTGTCTCCGTAAGCTCCGACGAGCTTTGTGACGTCGCATGACGTCACAGCTAGTCGAGATATCTCGTGCGGCTTGACGTTCGAAGTGGCTGATCTCAAGTGTTTTTGATGGTACAACTGCGCTCGCCCCAACGGTCACACCGTAAAACATATTACTTATATATGTTAACTTCAAATAATAAAAAAAAAACATTATTTTTTTTGTCAATGAATTGTTAATGTAATTAAGACTAATTCGAAAAAAATTATTAATTCGAATAAATTAACTTACCAAAAGGCCAGATTTTACTAAAGTTTTCTGCAAGTTAATGGTAAAAGAAAGTAAAATGTTTTATTCCTTCCTCAGATTTGAATTTAACAAATCATTTTGTAAAAATATGCATCGATGCTGTTTAATCTCCATTTCTTTTTAAAATATAAGATCTGGTTCTTTTTAAGAGATAAACATGTATTTGATATATTGCAAAATCAGAAACGAACATTTATAAAACATAAGAAATAGGTGGCGTTCTTGACGATGAATTTAAAGATCCCAAAAGCTACTCAAGAAATTACAAGTATATTGTTTGCTTTTCTTTTGGAAGGGTTTCAACGATTTGCAATTTGTACTATCTGTACCTACCTTTTCGATTGTTTTCTTCATGTGAAACAACCCCAACTCCATAATTTCGGGTGGTAAAGCCTTGATGAATCTGACTCAGTATATTGATAGAAGATCCCGGAACAAATTTGTGTGTGTGGCTATTTGTGGTGCTTGTCGGCGTTTTCTGTGAACGCATGGAATTTCCAGGAACATTTGTTGGTTTTGATGTACCAAATATGTTTCGAGTAATTTTATTATTTGATCCAATGATTCCAACGAAAGAATGCGACGTCGTTTGAGAGGGATAGTTTTGTTTGTTTGTGTTTTGGCCCCCATTGGTTTTTCTCGTTGTTTGTTGGTTACTGTTATGTTGTCCTGTTCCATTTAAACCTTGTGTTCTGCCATTCAATGCATAGTGAGTGGTGGTAAGGCCTCCTATTTTACCTGTTAAACCATTGTTTGTTGTTTTATAAAGATATCCATTGTTAGACTTTGATACCACGTAAGCATTGGTAGTCAGGATATTGTTACCCGCACTAGTTGTATTACGATTCCCAGAGTTGGTGATCACTTAAAAGTAAAGAAAAAACTGTATATGACAGCCAATTCAATGTAAGACTATTATCAGATTCCCTATGGATCTCTGTTTTTTTTCTTTTAAATGATTAAGAAAAACAAAAATACATGGATAATGAACGTAACATTGCAGAATACATCCTTACAAACATGTGTACTAACCTTTATTGCAATATTTTCCGGTGAATCCTGGACTGCAGGCACAGAATACGCTTGTAGGAGTCTGGAGACACTTGCCGTGACCACAAGAGATGGTTTTACACAGATCCGCGGGATGGCCGACAGATGTAGTGACTTTTCCCAATGACCCTCCTGCTGAAGTGACTTTTCCCAATGACCCTCCTGCTGAAGTGACTTTTCCCAATGAACCTCCTGTTGCAGTGACTTTTCCTAACGAACTTCCTGCAGTAGTGACCTTAACTCGGGAACTCTGTGATGTCGTGGTGACTTTACTTGAAGAACTTCCCACTGTAGAAGTTACTTTTACAACAGGTAAGCCTGATTACAATGAAAATGTGACTTTTAATGAAATATTAAAACATGAAAAAGTACAAAAGAAAAGGTATTAAACATACATACACTGTACTTTCAAATGAAAAATATTTTATAAGATTTCATCTTTAAAATGGTAACAATTTTATTATTTTTGTTCTGCATATCCAAACACTGTATTTGTAATTCTATGATATATTTATGGTTTGAAAATTAATATGAAAATCTTTAAGCATATAGATTTTTATTTATATTCTCTTACGATTATCACATTTCTCTCCACTGAACCCTGCTTCACAAGTACAGGAGAATCCATGTGGTGTATCCCGGCATGTACCGTGCTGGCAGGGACGACTGCCACAGTTAACTACTATAAGGAAATGTAAGACATGCATAGTATCTAGTTACTTAATAATGACATCTTTTAAAGTTGCTATATTGAGAAAAATTCAATTCTGTCGATGAAAAAAAAAATCAGAAAATGACATTCTTAGAGACATACTTGTAAATATATAGCAGAGAATACATTTGTAATAACTGTAAAAAGATGAATAATTCCCTTACTTATTTCACAGAGAGTTCCTGAATATGTAACAGGACACACACAAGTAAAACCAGTGGGTACATCATTACAAATTCCATGGCGGCAGGGTGAATCCCTGCATGTAATGGCTAAAAAGCAAATCAATAGAAAATAAAACATTAGATCAGTTAAATTTTAAACGTACTTGCTTGCGCAGCCTTTCCTCTGAAAAGCATGGTCACAGGTGCAAATAAATAAAAGTTATTTAAACTAAAATAAATGTCAATAGGTCACAATGCTCACCTGCATCTCCAAGGTTCAGTTTAATTATTCATTAGATTGAGAGTTGCGCTTTTTTAAAGTTTTATCAGATATTCTCATATTTCTAAATCTTACCTGTATCACACATGATTCCCGTGTAGGTGGGAGGACACATGCATCTAAATCCAGTCCGGGTATTTATACAAGATCCGTGTCTGCAGGGACTATCACTACAGGTCAAAGCTGTTAAATACAATGGACTTAAAATGCATATTCATAACGTTCATCAGGGATAGAAAACAATAAAATGTCAATAGGTCACAACACTTACCTGCATCCCCTTGCTTCAGCTTGATTTTTTTGGTTTGGAGAGTTGCGTTTTTAACATTTCTAGGACATTCTCATATTTCTACATCTTACCTGTATCACACGTGATCCCTTTGTGTGTGGGAGGACACACACATGTAAATCCAGTCCGTGTATTTATGCAAGATCCATGCCTGCAGGGACTGTCACTACAGGTCATAGCTGTAAAATATAATAAACAAAATAAATTTTGTGTTTTCTACTGTTCAACAGAGATAAAAGTAAACAAAAAACAGATAAAATGGTTGTCCGTTTAGCTGCAGAACTGTACATAGCTCTCCGAAAAAAAGATATCTCTCGAAGTAAGAGACATCTTTCAAAAGTGTCTAAAAGAGATATCTCTCAAGAAGAAATAGATATCTTGTTATTGCAAAAATATATCTCTCTTTATTATTTTTATTTAAATTCTACTTGAAATGACTTCTCCCTTTACCGGAAGTAAGCTTTTTTATTCATGGAAATACATTTAAGTATTTTTAATTTCGACATATTCATGACATTCTACATTATAGCTTTTCTAAACTTGACAAGTAATTCAGTGTTGTTGAGATTTCAAACTAGTAATAGCGAACGCAGAGAGCGTCGCGAAGCGAGCTCAATAGACTATAACATGTAAGAACAGAGGAAATTCAGAATGAAACCAGTACATACGACATGTATGCAAATTTTGTAGTGAAACATTTCCAGATTTCCTTTACTACCCAATATATTGAATATTTAATTGATTTTTGTTGTTGTTGTTTTCCTTCAAATTTGAAGATTTTTACTAGTGTAGAAATGTCGACAGAAACTGGTGAAAGACCTCAAAATAAAATTCAAGGACTTTGTAAAATTTTACATCTTACGCAACACGAAACGTCCGTTTTTAGGTCTAATTAAAAAATCTTAATTTTCACTCCTAATCATGGGTGATTGGTCATCAAATGGCGAACAACCGAAACTTTGTTCAAGCCTCATCCTTATCACGACCGGTCACGGCGAATAGTTTATTACAACCTTGGCCTCTCCATTACAAGGTAAGCGATGCACACTTTTTATATTAATAATAAAGACATCCACTTAATTTGTAATTTTTCATGATTATGTTTTTTTTTTTCTTTGACAGAGGAATGGAACTTTTATCTATATAGATTTCATTCCATAAATTTACGGATCCTTTTTTTTTTAAACATGTTAGGTTGAAATTATATCAGTGGTTTTAGGGAAAATGAAAATTTGTATATTTAATAGATGGACAGATAGAAAAACAAACAGAGTGACAAACAATGGAATAATAAAATTACTCCTGAAATCTTAGTAAGCTTTGAAATTTTCTTTTTCGAATTGTTATGCATATATCAAAATCAATTAATCAAATTCAAAACATGCTTAAATTTGGACAGAAAAAACCTTATTATATTCAGATGAGCACACAGTTTGTGCTTGCTTAAAATTTATTTAGGTTTTTCTTCGACCAGACTCTGTTATTTCCCGATCATGACAAAGATCACATGGCGGGTATGACCGGTCAGCAGGGAATGCTAATCATAACTCTGATGTTTTGGAGGTTCTTCTTAGCTCTTCTCCTGATATTAATTGTTTAATAGACCTCTGAGCTTTAATATTGTTTGGTATTTCCATATGTTTCATTTAATGGCACCTTTGAGCTTTTTTGTTATCTCCATACACTAAGTATTTCCATTGACCCTTTGAAATCTGTTATTTCTTGAAACGGCTATAAAATTATTTTAGCGATATTATAATTTTATATAGAAACTCTAATATTGCATGGTTTACTCCGTGAAAGTAATACAAAAATACTGTAAAAGTACTATTTCCGCGCGAAATGAATTTACGCTATGTGCGCGGTCACAATTACCTCAGGGTTAGGGTGAGGCTTACCTCTGTCACAATTCTTTCCTGTGTACCCCGTGGAACACGTACAGTGATACCCCCCTGATCCATCATGACATGCCCCCTTCTGACACGGGTTGTCTGAACATGTGACACCTGTGTGATCAGAGAAAACAATCAAGCAGTCTTTGAAAGACGAAATGTGATAAGTATAGGTTTGAATTTGCAGCCCCCCCCTCCCCCCCCCCCCATCGGCAAAAGGTGGCATTTCGAACTGAGTGAAAAATTCTAGAACAAGCATTTAAGATAGAAGCTAACGGTTATGAATGCATGAATTAAAAGAAAAACGTATATGATTATTGAACAATATAGCAGGGTCGGTTGTTATAATGGCAAAAGAATTTTTGAAATATATATTCACCAATATATTTATAAATTATATTAAAACCATATATTATATTACTGATACATACGGAATCTACAAAGCAAGCCTTTGCAAAGATTTGGAAACTGTTTTCAAGAACAGGGACGTAGGAACCGGGGGGGCAGGCCCCCCCCCCCCCCCACTTTTTGCCCAAAAATACTTTTACTATTTAAATTTTTTTTTTAATGGTTGTTGCCCCCCCCCCCCCCCACTTTTTACTATAGTATAGTGATATCAAGGATTGTAGGGAAAAATTGGAATTGATAGTAAGTTGGCTTTGAAAAAGTTGGCCACAATATGATCTTCATATTTTTGAGGATAAAGTTTTTGAAATCTTTATCCTTACGCGTGTTGCAGGTGGTCCCTTTGTATCCGGCATCACAGGTACAGCTGAATCCGTGTGATGTATCCTTGCATGAACCATGCTGACAGGGATGGCTACTGCATTTTATAGCTGATAAAGACATCATGTTCTTAGCATTCAGGAAAAAATAGTTTGAGAACGATGTTCTTGCTTTTCACCTTTGTTTTTCGCCTAAAGTTAAAGCCGCTTGGTCCGATTCTAATCGCTAAAAAAATAATTTCGTTTTTCTTCTTGAAAAATAATTGTCCATAAATCATTTCAAATTTTGTCAAATTATATCCCCAAAGTCTTTTTCCTTTTAAAGATATCAAAATTCAAAAGTTAAAAAAATAATTTTTGTTAGGTCACACAAAAAATAATCCTTTGTTTACATTGCGTGAAATCACCTTCGAAAAATTAAATTTATCGCTTACATGTATAACTCATGAATACGACGGCGTATTCGTGCCATTTAAACAATGTAGAAATATTTTTTTAAAACGTTTGTACGATTTAATAAATCGTTTGTACAATTTAATAAATCGTTTGTACGATTTAATAAATCGTTTGTACGATTTAGTAAATCGTTTGTACGATTTAGTAAATCGTTTGTACGATTTAATAAATCGTTTGTACAATTTAGTAAATCGTTTGTACGATTTAATAAATCGTTTGTACAATTTAATAAATCGTTTGTACGATTTAATTTAGTAAATCGTACAAACGATTTATTAAATCGTACAAACGATTTAGTAAATCGTACAAACGATTTAGTAAATCGTACAAACGATTTAGTAAATCGTACAAACGATTTAGTAAATCGTACAAACGATTTAATAAAAAATTTCTACATTGTTAAAATGGCACGAATACGCCGTCGTACATGAAGAACAAACCCGATCATTTTTTCCACAACAAAATGTACACGGGCAATATTCTAGCCCTCGTTACTAAACTCCCTTTTTTCAAAAAATCTTTAAAAATATCTGATTTTTCCTTTATTCTGTAGATATGCATATTAATATAAAAATGACTATGGATTATTTTCAGTTAATTTCTTAATTTTTAAAAGATACATCATGACTTAAGATTCTACTAATGGAAAAAAATACTCGGGTTTGAATTCTCTTCATAATTAGATATAACCGATAAAAGTAATATTTTCAAAGGTGACTTCAAAACAGATCTTAACTTCCCGTCAAGAACTGCTGTTTGTCAACAAGGTTTTTGGTCAATGTTCTCCATGTAAGGATTGTTGTAATAAACTATTAAATCAATCTTATAATTAATTTTTATATATTTTCTATGTAATGACAAACTTTTATTGTTTAAGATAATATGTGCCTGTTTCGGATGAAGCGGCTTTAATATATAGTCCCTAGTAAACATTTTATGCAACACTATAACATCAGTTCTGATGGCCATTCTGTGAATATTTTCTTTATAAAAACAAAAACTAAAATTTTATTAGGATCAGCAAAAAAAAAAAATGTAGTACCTGTCTCACACAAACGACCAGTGCGCATGACATCACAAGAACAGCGAAATCCTGTTGGCGTGTCAGAACACGTGCCACTAACACACGGGTTGTCCTTACAAACAGCAACTAAAACGTGACAGGAAAAAACATAAGAATGATAAACCAATAAAAACGAACATGTCAAAACCAAGATGTCGATATCTAGCTATATCACTTTGTATATGTCTTTTTTTATTTTATATTTAAAATACAAATTAATCTACATGCACATAAAAACTGGTAAAGCAATAGGAAAATGTTTAAAGCTCAAATGAATGAGAGCCCGAGAATCCAGTCACCTCTTTCACAGTTCTTCCCTGCTATTCCTGGAGGACACGTACAGCTGTACCCTCCCGATCCTCCGTGACACGTTCCTCTTTTACAAGGATTATCACTGCATGTTGTTCCTGTGTAATGTAAAGGTAGACATAAAAGCAAAATTACCGATCCCGAAAAATCTATTACTAAAACAAATATGTAAGAGGGGCATAAAAACAGGGATCCCTTGAAATAAAAGAAATGAAATCAGGCACATAGGAGCGGTAAACATCCATTGTTGACAAGTCATATCTCTAAGCCTCCATGCATAAATCATCAACATGATATTGAATTCAACACAGGTTTCATTTCTTTTGGATAAATGTGCATTAAATCAACAAATGAGTTTTTTAAAACTCAAAACAAAAATACAGTTTATATATTAACGAGAATTTTTTGAATGACTGCACAGCTATAATATTTAAAGTACATGAGTACAATTAGATTGTTTTGAAAAATGACCGATGAAAAGGGTAAACTTATGAGTTCTATTATAATTGAAATGGCAGCGACTTATGATTTCTAAAAAGGCCTGGACAAAACTATCAACATCGAAAGAAAATGAAGGTAAGTGAAAGACAAACCATTTTTGTACTCTTTACATATGGATGTTTTATAATAACATCTGATTTGCTCAATCAACACATGTGACACACAGAACAGAGGAAACTTTGACTACTGACCTCTGTCACAGTTCTTCCCGGCAAATCCAAGGTCACAGGTACATGTGTATCCTCCTCCCACAGTCTGACAGCGACCATGCCGACACGGACCGTCCCTACAGGTGATAACTAAAATAAACAAACTGTAATCACCCGACAAAGACCGTCACTACATGTAATAACTAAAATAAACATAAACTGTAATCACCCGACAAAGACCGTCACTACATGTAATAACTAAAATAAACATAAACTGTAATCACCCGACAAAGACCGTCACTACATGTAATAACTGAAGCATAAGGACGTCTGTAATCCCCCAACAAAGAGCGTCACTACATGTAATAACTAAAAGAAAAGCACGACTGTAATCACCTGACAAAGACCGTCACTACACGTAATAACTGAAACATAAGCACGACTGTAATCCCCCAACAAAGTCCGTCACTACATGTAATAACTGAAGCATAAGCACGACTGTAATCACCTGACAAAGACCGTCACTTCATGTAATAACTGTAATAGATACAAACTGTAATCACCCGACAAAGTCCGTCACTACATGTAATAACTGAAGCATAAGGACGACTATAATCATCCGACAAAGACCTTCACTACATGTAATAACTTAAACATAAGCACTACTGTAATCACCAAAAATTGACTGTCACTACTTGTAATAACTGAAGCATAAGGACGACTATAATCATCCGACAAAGACCTTCACTACATGTAATAACTGAAACATAAGCACGACTGTCATCACCAAAAAATGACTGTCACTACATGTAATAACTGAAACATAAGGACGACTGTAATCACCAAACAAAGACCGTCACTATATGTAATAACTGAAACATAAGCACGACTGTAATCCCCCATCAAAGACTGTCATTACATGTAATAACTAATACATAAGCACGACTGTAATCCCCCAACAAGACTGTCATTACATTTAATAATCACCCGACAAAGACCGTTACTACATGTAATAACTTAAGCATAAGCACGACTGTAATCACCCAACAAAGACCGTCACTACATGTAATAACTGAAGCATAAGCACGACTGTAATCACCGGTGACGGAAGACCAAGGATGATCAGTATCATACTATGACAAAAAAGTAAATTCAACTGTTAAACTCAAAAATGTCTATTACTTAAACATAGCATATGAAGACAGACAGAAATGATTAAAAAAACAACTTTTTTTCTAGATATGTGTAACATTGTAAATAAAATGAAAATATATTCTATGAACTACCTCTCTCACAGTTTTTCCCCGTATACCCAGGGTCACAGGTACATCTGTACCCACTACCGACGTCACGACAATGCCCATGCTGACACGGAGTATCCCTACAGGTTGCAGCTGCAAAACATATATTTGTAATTAATATAACCAGAGTTGCCATTGTAGCCCTTTTCCGTCACCGGGTCACGTGATCATTATGGCTTTATAAGTGGAGAATATCCACAGTAAAAAAAATCATAAACTTTGGTTATCAGAAACGGAAAAAATAAAACGCTTTCAATTTCAAAATATTTAGAAACATCCGACAAGTCCTTAAAAGCAAACCTCTTTCGCAGTTTTTCCCTGCATAACCTGGATCGCAGGTACACGTATATCCACCTGTGACGTCACGGCAATGTCCATGTTGACATGGGTTATCACTACATGTGGAAACTAAAAGAAATTCTTGACAGATGTCATAAATGATCAATAAAATTCTACCGGTCACGGAGCCTAGTAGTAGAGCGTTCGCTAGGTGATCGGGAGGCCCGGGTTCGATTCTCGTTCGCGGCGCCGCGTCAAACTTAAGACATAAACATAGATAGTGACTGTTCCTTCGCCAAGCGCTCGGCACTAGAAGTGATAGTCACGGGTCTTTCGGATATGACCTTTAAAACGTAGGTCTCGTGTCACGGTAGGCGTTGGCACTTTAAAGAACCCTCAGTGCTTAATGGCTCTAAGTGCTGTGTGGCAACGCACTTTGAAAAAATTACGCACTTTGAAAAAAAATTTCAAAGTGCGTTAAAATTGGGACAAAATCAACGCACTTTGAAAATTTTTTCAAAGTGCGTTAAATTTGGGACACACTCAACGCACTTTGAAAATTTTTTTCAAAGTGCGTAAAGAGTGTACATAAACATTTTTTACCATGGGGACATTTAACGCACTTTGAAAAAATATGTATAAAATATTCTAGACTTAAATTTTAGTAATTAAGAGAATCAATTTGTAATAATTATATCTTTCGAAAAACTTTTTAATTTACATATACTCATTTAACCCCATTGAGAACAAGGAGAAGACAAGTAGGTCTCTCAGCCCAACTCTTTTTTTTTCTTATACATTGTACATTGCCGTCTGTAGCAAATTGAAAGTGGACTCCATCCCCCAAGGTAAGTTCCTATTTTCAATGCCTATATTATGTATATCTCTGCAAAACATCTGTGTGCCTAAGCCCCCCTCCCGGTACTGATGCCTATGTTACACCCAAATATATGTATATGTATTTACATAACTGGTATGACGTTTAAAACTTTCAATAAGTTTTAGTTCACATAAAATGCATGCAAACTGAAAAAAATTAAGCACAGTAAAATATTTAAGAAAGAAAGAATTTTAAAGTATGAAAATATCAAAATCTCTCACTTTCATATCCTTAAGTGACCTCATCACTGAAGAGTTATCAAACAGGTTCAATTATTTATCATACCTAAGAATTGCAAGAATATTGGCCAAGCCATACCCAATTTTTTTTTCAAAGTGCGTTAATATGGCCGATCTTAACGCACTTTGAAAAGAAATTTTATTTTTTCAAAGTGCGTTGCTTTGGTCCCAAATTTAACGCACTTTGAAAATTTTTTTTCAAAGTGCGTAATTTTTCAAAGTGCGTTGTAACAGTACTGAACATAGGTCTAAATTTGAAGCCCTTCACCGATATACCATGACGTTCTCCATATGAGTGAAAAATTCTCGAGTGGGACGTTAAACAGTATACAATCAATCAATCAATGAAATTCTGTAAACAAATCTAAATATCTCTTACAGGCAAAAGAAAAACTGCCCAGTCATTGCTGTCTTTGCATTTTATAATTTGTTCATACTAATTGTTAGTCCATTGTTTATACACCTGTTATTTCCTGATCATGAAAAGGAGCATACGGCGGGTGTGACCGGTCAGCAGTGGATGCTCACTCCCCCATGGCACCTGATCCCACCTCTGATGTTTTGGAGGTCCGTATTTTGTATTGTTTTATAGACTTTGAGATTGAATACTGTTCTTTATCTCCATATCCTTCTTCAAGCTCTAACTGAAGACATATTCAGTTCAATGATTACGCCTATTAACTTTTTTTTTGTTTTTTTGATGAAAACAATTTTCAGCCATTACTTTGCACCACAAGTCTGCGGGTGAAAATATTTACGAATTCTATCATTCATTATACTAAATGACATTTTATTATTATCAAAATTTACAATCTGCTTTTTCCAAGTCCTGTTCATTTTACGTACTTTGCTCACATTAGTGTGAGCAAATTGGCAACTGGTTTGTTTGGCGTTCCTTCTTAAATGTCCTTTCCGTAGAGGTTTTTTGTCTTATATTAATTAACCTCGGATTTACAACTTTCATTAATAATTAAGGGTGGCTATCACATCAAGGTTATATGAAAATCAAATAAATACAATTTTTTTTTAACAGGTATAGATAATTGATATCAATTATATAAAAAAAAGAAGTTTGTTTATTGACATTTATTTGGGGAAAGCCGGTAGAAAAATGAACTTATAATACATTGCTTTACTAAATAAATTTAATAAACGAGTTAACCTTCATTATACAGATTTTGTCAAATAATTACAGACCTCTTTCACAGTTGCGCCCAGAATATCCAGGTTTGCAGATACACTGGTACCCTTTACTGGTATCCCTACAACTTCCACCATTACGACATCTTGTTTCTCTGCATGGAACAACTACAATTATAGTATATTTCTATTGGTTTCAGCTGGAATCCTTGAAAACTAAAAACTACGACGAATTACCCAATCAAATCAAGCTAAATCGCTAAAAGAACATTAAATATATATATGGATCTCATATGATTTGTAGTTGGATATGATTTTTATCCAACGAGTTGTGTGGTTTTTATCCCCGAGCCTTGGCGAGGGGATAAAACACAACGCACAACTGTGTGATACGAAAACGATATCACATGAGCTATATTAACAGGATAAAGGGTGAAACGTGGGATAAAAACTTCTATCATTAATGCTACTATTAATATCAATAATAATATAATATAATATAAAAATGAGAAAAGATATTTTTCATTTGTTTTTAAATTAAAAAAATATTAAATGTTTAATGCATAAAACTTTAATATGTTGAATTAGCCTTTGTATATTCTACAAATAATTGAAACGCAATTTCCTTTGAAATTAAGAGTTATTCAGTAATATTTTAACAGATAGTAGCTTAAATTTACTTAATCATTATGAATATTCTATTATTTCTACCAGAGAGCTTTTGATATTGCTTCAATTTTTTTCTAAATAAATGTTATTTACAAGCAAGTTTTAAAAGCCTTTGGTACGATCTACTCGATTCAATAAAATGCTTTGGTGAAGAAAAAAATCATGCCTAATGTAAAAGGATATATTATGGAATGTTAAATACGTTTGTTTAATCATTCTTAATCCTCCAGCTCTGAGTAGGGTGGGTTAAAAGATCAACGTGCCGACTCCTCGGATACCAGGTGTGTACGGGGGAAGCCTACAGTTTGTTAGGTCTATTTAACTCAGGTGCTGTTAAATCAACTTCCTAATCACATTTGACAGGTAGCTTATTTATCTCAACTGTCCTCTCTATAAACGATATCAATATTATTTAATTTTAGCGTTTATTTGATTTACGTTATAGATTTTTTTGTAAATTATTTGGAAACAGAATTATTAATGACGTTTTCTGAAATAGTTTTGATGGGAAATCAATTTTGCTGAAATATTGAGGCAAAGTTTGGAATAAGAATTTAAAGTTGGAGAAACCAAAATATTTTACATTTTAAAAGCTACATTGGTCAAAATAAACAAATTAGTATTTCAAAAAACTTGTAGATTATTACATGAAAAATACTATTTGAGCTGTGCTTACAAACGTAGGAACATGAAACAATGACAGATTATATATTTTTTGAAAAATATTAACTTGTTTCGTAAAAACTTTTGCTATTTTATCATAAGATATAAATGATACTACACGATCGCCCACGGCTAATGATTTATCTCAATGTCCGTTTCCTTTGCCCAAGTATATTGTTATAGGCAAAGTTTCCCGATGTTAAATGCTAATTTTGAGTTTCTGGGTGGAACATTCCGTCTTCAATTTAATGAAATACAAAAATGTCGGCTTATAAGTCAACCAAAACAGGACCAAATGAAAGGTAACATTTGCTGACAATGTTATTTTGAAGACCATAATATTTTCGAAATACTGATTCATAAATAGATCTTTGAAATACCTGTATCATCATAAGTGTAAATGGCGTGCCTCGGTTTAGGAAATTCGTTGTAACTAGAGAATACTTTTGAGTACCGAAAAAGTTAGGAGATATGAAAACCATATATGCATTTAATAATGGAATATAAATACATAAATGATATGAAAACCATATGCATTTGATATGATAACATTGTAACTACATAAATGATGAAAATTGACGATAGGAAAGCTGAAGTCATCTCGCTTGTCATAGGATTTACTTGTAAATGGTTATCTTCGTATATTGTCAGTAAAACTTTTAAATGTGAAATAAATATGTAAGACTCGACAGTGCCATTTATTTTATGTTAATTGAGATATATCGAGTCGACATATGAATTAAAAAAACTATTTGATTATAATTATTGTCAATATGAAGTAAATCGCAGTTTTATTCTTCTTGTCATGTAGAAGTTTTTAAATAAATTTATAGAAATGTAAAACTAAAGAAGCTAAGAAAAGGGCACAATTACGTCTTATCACAAAATTAAATTAATCTTTATTCATGTATGGCTGGAAGATTCTTATTCTTTTTTTCTCTCTCTCTTCTTGAATCATGGTAGATGTTCATGCTTTTTGGGGTAAATCCAAAGTTATCAAATTATTATCTTCAGAGTCAATTCAAATTCATTTAGACCTTATGACATATAAATTATTTTTTTAAGAATGAAATATGTATTATTAAAAAATGCTAAATTTTGAAATTTATTTATTGCAATTTTAAATTTGTTACACCATTTCTAAAGTTTTTAAAACTTCTCTTTTAGTATTTTTGTGAAACTGGCGAACGCTCTCCGTAAAAGCCAAACTTCTATACTTCTTTCTGTGGCCTTCAATTCAACATATAGATAAATGGACAGCGTATTGTCAATTAACAAAGGTTGTTTCCAATTTTGTGTCGATACGAAATATCCCGGTAGGCTTGAGATTAAAGATACCACAGACAGAGACATTTGTTTCATATTTGGATATTGCACTTAAAAAAGACGTTAAAGGTAATCCCACAACCAAGTCCATTGATAGAAGCTCATTGATAAAAGTGACGACTTTACAATCGTCAACTTCCCTTACTTTTGCAGCAATATACCTTCATCACCTGGATAAGGAGTTTATCTATCTCAGTTGATTCGATATGGAAGGGGATGCTCTACGTATAAATAATTTCTCACGAGTGAACAAAACGAAGTAAATTATTGACAAACAAGTTGATGAAACAAAAATATTAGCAATCTCGTTTAAAGTCATCATTCGTAAGTTCTTTGGTCGGTGCAATGACTTTCTCACTTAATACAATGTATCATTGAGTCAAATGCCGAGTGACGTTTTTCATACAAATGTTAGTCCATTTTTTATAAATGAATTGACGACGGATTTTCCCGTTAATTCCCTATTCTGACAAGGAGTACTCGGCGGTTAAAACCGGTCGACAGGGGATGTTCACTCGTCCATTGCTTCTGATCCCACCTTTGATGTTTCGGAAGTGCCTGATTACTCTGTTCTTGTTTTGTTTTATGGACTTATGATCTTGAATACTGTTTATTATTCCCAGATATTTCATTTGTTTATTTTAATGGGGTGCTGTGGATTGGATGGATGAACTGAAATCGATCGGCATTCTTTTTTTTTTGGGGGGGGGGGCGGAAACTAAGTAATAAAAAGTAATGTTTTCGTGATCTTTATGAGTTTAAGAAGATCTATGAATCATGTTTGAGTAAATTGTTTTAATTTCTAACCATTTCTCGGTATATTTTATACAAAAAGTAGGTCTTAAAAATCAAATATTAGATTCAAAAAATTAAAAAATTATTTGTGTCGTTCATCTTTTCCCAACAAGCATTCCAGCCTCATGTTATCCCCATGGACGTTTTGGAAAGACAATAAAAGTAGTACATTCGTGGACATTTACGTCATAAAATATTTGCCGATGTGCTAAAATAACATCACCGACTTGTACAAACAATGGCCTATTGTTGTTTAGTTTAAAATTTATCTCTATGTAATTCTGAAAAATCCTAATCTTGATAGAGAAATCGAAAGTCTTTCTCTAATGTTATTAATGTGCTTTCCTTGCACTGGTTGTTAGATCTTTTCTTTGACTATATTGTTTTTTACACGTATTACTTTCAAACTTTCGCCTTCTCCCCAATTTTTTTTTATTTAAAGAAAAACTTTAAATATTGTAATGTACTAGGCATCTACGGTCATTGAGCTTTGAGGGATCTTTTTCTTGCCAGCACCTACTGCGACACGGGACCTCGTTTTATATATTCCCATTCGAAAGACCGTCCCGCAGTGGGATTCGAACCCATAACGATCAACTCCTTAGATTTGAAGGAAAAGTAAAAAAAAAATGACTTTATCCTTTTTGTAATCCATGTAATCCTAGTAAAATCAATTTCATACTTGAGACATATTCAAGTCTCATCAAGAAAAGTCTTGATTCTTCTTAGATTCTTCTTAGACTTCATTGCAGATTATGTTCCAAAATTTATTTATCATCAGTAAACCTGTATTAAGATACAGTGTATTATTAATATACATCTAATTTATCTACTCTAAAGAGCAAATAAAAAAAAACAAAAACAAAAACATGCATCTCAATATCAATTTCATATAATCACCTCACCCCAATCTCGAATAAAACCATAAATTACATTTGTTCTTCAATGAAAGAATGTTTTAAGCCTCTATCTAAATGCGTTTGTTTTTAAATTTCTTTTTACGAGGGTCATTAAAAAACTCATGTTTTTAAAAATATTTAAAAGCTATATGTTTCGTTATATAATTACCACGATGCACGGTTAAACAACATTGTAACGTGAAAAACAACGTCGAGAAAGTTTCTAAAAGCTTACTCTGCGTTCTAATTTTATATACGGTTTGTAACGTCTTTACATTCACAAAAACGTAAACATTCCTTGGTACTTAGTTTGCTAGCAATTCTGCACATATCTTGAACTAGATTTTAAGTGGTTTCAAATTTTTTACCGCGTTACTCTATTACATTGTAATTCAGCAACAGTGAAGCGAACATCATATTGAATGACTTTCCGAACTCATTTGACAAGATTTTTAAACTGTAACCTGTTTCTTTGCGGACCATCCATCGTGAAATTAGATCTTGTTACAATGTACCACTCAAAAATTGCATTTTTTTTTTCATTTTATACAATATTCGGCTTATTTTTCATACACTTCCTGGTTATTTCAGATTTTGTAAAAAGAAAAAAAAGTAAAAGAGGTTTCCTAAATACAAAGAAAAATTGTATTGCTACTCGCTGCTCCGTGACGTCCTCCAACGTCAAAGTTTTCTTCTTTTTTAATCAAGCCCATACATGTATGTATTTAGAAATCTTTTAAACAGACCGATACAATGTATATTACATTACCTGATTGCGTCTTAAGTTATACAGAAAGACTTAATTTAAACATGTAAATTTTATTTCGTTTCAGCTCCATTTATCAGAGGTATGGTTATTTATACTATTAAGTGAAAAGTATTAAATAACTTAATTTTGACATTTTTCCGTGACCCAATTTTGCTGTTATAAATCTTTAATGATTTTTATAAATAAGAAAATATATTCCAATTTTTTTACTCAAATTACTTTGTTATTAAAACCTGAGTATTAAATTTGGATATAATATGATGTTAAATTAAAAAAAAAGTTATGACTACGAACTTTTTGAATGATCCTTGTAACGCATATATTTATTTAAAGCTTTTATATTTGATCGCTTTAAGCTGTCAAATTTTAAAGCTGAACTGATTGTAAAATCAAACTATTTCAGACTCTAATCTATAGTAAATAAACAATATATCTAATATTTACTTATTTTCTCAAAACTGCTAGATCTCATATATTTTAAAAGATAATCATATTCTATCATTAATATTCAATATTATTTTTGGCGAAATATACAGAGAGAAACAGATGATTTTTAGTACTCCCTATTTTCGTTTTTAATAGTACTAGTACGTAAGTTTTACAAAACAAACAATTTTCTACCTTGTCAATAAATACAATTTATTATTGAGGCAAATTGTGACTGACTTTTTTTTTTATATATATACTAATTATTAGTCCATTATTTATGGCGGTGGATTTTCCCGTTATTTTTCGATCATGACAAATAGCTTGCGGCAGGTGTGACTGGTCAGCAGGGGATGCTCACTCCTCCATGACATCTGATCCCACCTCTGATGTTTTGGAGGTCCCGGTTTGCTATGTCCGTCGTGTTTGCTCTGCTCTTAATTTATATTCTTTCATGGACTTTGAGATTGAATACTGTTCGCTATCTCCATATCCTTCTCTTTTGTATTGGTTCATGGACTATTGATCTAGAATACTGTTTGTTAACTCCATATGTTAAATTTATATTCATAATTCCATTTGTAAAATAGCTAAGTTCATCAGTAGAGTTGTTGCATGATACCTTACCTCTAGCGCAGTCTTTGCTGGATGTACAGGTGGCATCCTCCTGATATTGAGCCATAGAAAACGAACAAAGGTCCACAACACACTTGGTGATGTTGTTCAGTTTTATGTCTGGTGGACAGCAGATGAACATAACTCGGGTTCGAACCCCGGTCCCACAGCCATTCGAACACGCTCCCCACTTGTCCCAGGTTGCCCAATCACAGAACTTGTAACGACCGTTGGCACAGGTACCTTTAGGGGGGGCTGAGGACACATTAGTAAAAATTAATAAACTATATATTGTAAAAACTACTATTTTGTGACAAAAATATTTATTCCCCGGACAATCTTTCATTTTGCCAGTATTTTCATCATCTGTAAAATTCAAATGAATGAATATTGTTGTATCGGAAACTTTTATTAATTCTTCCAGTTGTCAATCAGAGTGTATAGAAATTCGTTTATCAATTCTAAATTTTCATATTTGACACACCGATATTGAAAAATTCCATCTTGCAAAGATTTTTAACATTGTGTACAAATACTTATATTCATAAATGTCTTTAACGCTATGGAAATATATATTGATAACTCAGTTGACAATATTTCTTATAACTGTTATTGATTTTAAGAATTAATAATCCAAGTCATAATTACATAATTCTTTGCCGAGGAAATTTAAATTCGCTTTTATAAAATAAATTCAGTTATCTTTTTCTTCCCTAGATGGATTAAATATCACGTCAGACTTAATTAATGAAATAGAGAACTGAATATAGAGTTTAGTGGACAAAGTTTTCTTCAACGTATGTACAAATAATGAATCTTATCCCTAAATGCTTAATATATCATGATTATTGGCGAGTTTTTCTTTTCCTATTAATATTATTTTAATTATAGATTGCACTTTTGATAAATTAATTAAAATATCTATTAATATATCTTTCTAAAATTGCCCCAATCAGGCATGATGATGATACACAATATATTAAACATGTTGTACAATAGAAAACGTACCTGTTGAGGTAATAGAAATGACCAGAAAGAAAAGTAATAGACTTTTCAAAAACTCAACACACATTATCGCTTTTAACTATATTTCGTACTTATGTACAAGAGGATGTGACTTCATAATTCAAAATAAATTATAATCTTATTTTTTGTTTATTTAAAGATTGAAAGATATCCAGCATTGATCTGTGTCTACAGACTGTACGTTTCGACCCCCCTAAATGTATAAACAAAGCAGTGATATTGGAATTCTCCGTGGTCGTCCGGAGTGGAGATATATCGGTGACTGGAATCGTTTACCCGGTGTTTGACAATTGAAATCTATTTTGTGACCTTTAGGAATAGTGAACACTTTGTGTGGTAAAGGTTGAGAAATAAATTTGTCACCAATATTAATGACTTAGACACCAATATTTATGTTTTCTTTTGTGTGGAGAGGTTTGGATGAAGAGGGGATTTGAATAACGACGTTTTATAAGAATTCAAATACTAGTAAGTTATATTTTTGAAACGTTAGCATTTATTCTATGAATAAATGTGACTTTTTTCTTGACTTTTTTTTAAGATAATATTGAAAGCTAGTGCTGGAGAAAATACAAACACCCTGAATAATGGACATTTCAGAATTACACCCTCCCTATTTATAATCAAGATTTGTAACAAACCTATTCTACAACTTCTAAATATAAAAGAAAACAATATGAACTCAAAGAAATTCTGAGTGCTCGGTATTTTTAGATTACAATTTTGCGATACATAGTGCATTTACCGAAAGGACAAAAGGGTTAAACAGAAAAGAAAAACGAAGCAATTGTATATGGGAATAGAATGAAATATATAGAGAAGGAAGGGTTTTGAAGTGAAATATGCGGAAAATAACGAACAGTATTAGTGTTCAGAAGTCCATTGAACATTATAAGAATAAGAGCGGAGCAACGGTGTGCCTCCAAAAATCATAGGTAGGATCAAGTGCCATGGAGGAGTGAGCAGTACTTGCTGATCGGTCATATATTCCGTGTGCTCCTTGTCATGATAGGAAAATAATGAAAATATTCCTAAGACAAGTCATTGTGCAATTAATAGCCTATTAGTCAGTTTGAAAAACGCCAGTAGGCATCCAAATAAATTGTATTTGCTGATAAGGTTAATGTATCGAACATAGAATGTCCAAAATGATGACTTTAAACGAGATACACGTAGCTCAAATTTTATTCAATCAAAACAAATAAGGAGCAGAATAAATACATACTTCTAAACATCCCAGGTTGGATCATGTTCTATGGAGGAGTAAGCATTTCTTTTCGGTGTTTCACAATCACCGTGGTGGTCCTTGCCATTGTCGGGAAGAAAACGAAAAATATTATATATCTTTCATCGTGTAAATAATGATATAACGGTTTGTATGAAAACAGTCCGTAAGCAATTGACTTAAGATAAATTGTGCTGACATGGCCACTGCTTTTATTCTTATTTCATCAACTGATCACTAATCGACAGATTGTTGAAAGATTTCGAAAAAGAAAAATCATATAGATATTGTCAATTAAAAACTAATGCAGAACTGCAGAGTGTTATTAAAAAAAAATAATTTTGCAAAAAGTGATGACAACGTTAGTGAATTAACGAGTTCCATAATCATTGAAAGAAGGATATGGAAATAACGAACAGTATTCAATCTCAACGTCCATTAAACAATATACAAAATAAGAGCAGAGCAAACACGGACCTCCGAAACATCAGAGGTGGGATCAGGTCCCATGGAGGAGTGAGCATCCCCTGCCGACCGGTCACACCCGCCGTGTGCTCGTTGTCATGATCAGGAAATAACGGAAAAAATCCGTCGTCAATTCAGTGTATAAATAATTAAAACTAACAATTGGTATGAAAAACGTCAGTCAGCATTTGACTCAATGATAAATTGTATTTGCTGACAAGGTCATTGTATCCACCATAGAATTTACGAAATGATGACTTTAAAAGAGACTGTTGATATTCTTGTTTCATCAACTTGCTTGTCAATAATTTACCTCGTTTAAGAAATTGTTCATACGTAGAGCATGCTCTTGCGTATCGAATGAACTGAGATATATATACTCCGTATGCAGGTGATGAAGGTATATTGCTGCATAAGTAAGGGAAGTTGACGATAGAAAAGTTAAAGTCATCACGTTTATCATATAGCTTGGTTGTTAGATTACCATTAGTGTCTTTTTCAAGTAAAATATCCAAGTATGAAGCAGAAGTGTCGGACTCTGTGGTATCTTTTATCTCAAGCTCACCAGGATATATCGTATCCACGTAGGAATGAAAATTATCATTATTAATTGACAATACGTCGTCGATATATCTAAATGTCGAGTTGAAGGCCACAGCAAGTGTTTTCTTCTTTTCACGCATAAGATTTTGCATAAATTCTGCTTCATATGAATATAAAAATAAGTCTGCTAATAACGGAGCGCAATTAGTACCCATGGGAATTCCAATAGATTGTTGGAATACCTGGCTCCTTGAACATAAACTGAGAATAGACTTAAGTCAAAATTTTGATCCTGAATAACTTAAGTTTTATCTAACTTCTGTTCTTAAAATTTTGCAGTTATGCTTAATATTCAAATTCCATCAAATGATGCAACTTAGTTTCCTTATCATTTTTTTTAAAGTTATATTGATTTTAATTTTTGACTTAAGTCTGTTCTCAGTTTATGGTCATTGGGCCTGGTCTCCAAAATCACATAGATATTGTCAATCAGAAACTCAAGCATCATCTTGATATCAACTTCAGAGTACTTGTGTGTGCAATCATGCAATCATGAAAATCATGCAGCTGTAATTAAAATAATTCTAAAAAGTTCTTGGATTGTTTCAATTTGTCAATTTTGATTTACATCACTTCTGGTTGACAATGAAATGAAAATTAAGTTTTTAACGAAAGAAAATGTGCTTTTTACATCCCCCTACAATGAAGTCACGAATATGCCATGAACGTTACTTTTCAGAACTTTTCGTCCACCAGAGATTGTCAAGAATGTTCATCCGGTGGTCCGTCAACAAAATGATGAAAAGTATCAATGGCTTAAATGCAAGAGTATTCACATCACGAAAATGAATGTTTCATCTGAATTGAACAAATGTCGGCATCGATCCTAAAGTTTTTAAAGTTCACGACGCAAGGATCAGTGTAGAAAAAAGGATGCTAAATTGTTTTGAATGCACGTATGTCAAATATACCGAGCAAAGTTTGAAGGGTATAGAAATCCAGAAAAAATGATTAAATGGAAAACATGGTAGTTGCATATTTTTGGTTTTATAGAAAAAAGGACTAAGAAGTTAGTATATAATTGACAGAACAGAAAGATGTCATTCTATGAAGTCTGTTTCTTTGAATCTATTTCAACAACGTGAAATATTTCAAAAGTTTAATAATATAAAAAAAATAATAACCGTAAGTAATGTAACAGATGATCTTATATAAAATAGATGTTCCAGAAACACATAAAAGTCACGAATTTTCTTTGAAAAAAGACTTTCAAATGAATAAAAAATAATTAAAGGCTTTTAGGACTACTCTGTAGATTTTACAATTCTACAAACTTAAGTCTATTTCACACACAAATGAGTTTTTCTGGTGACATTCACTTTCTACGAGAATTTTTTGAAGTTGGAGGATTGGAAACATTTTCAAACATCCTTGTGTTAGCAGAAAATCAGCTTGTACGTATTCTGGTATCTTCTGGAGATGTTTGAATCCTACACCCCGCCATGTTACCACATCCCTTATTGTATCACCAATGACACCGTCAACCCAAACAAACTGGCCAAATTGGGGGTATGACTGTGCTGAAAATAAAAATGAATCTATTAGTGACGATTTGAGCTATGTACAAGCTAGGAAAATTATAGGATTTTAAATATTTTTTAAGACAAAACTGATATTTAGCAATGATAATTTATGTAGAATGTTAGAATGTTTGGTATATCATTTTATTTAAATAGAAGGTTGAAAAAGATAACAGATCTTGTACACTGAATGATTATTTAAATCTCTATTTTAAAAAGAAGACTTATTTCATAAGTACAATGCATCTTTTTAAAATAGAGATATAAAAAGAATTCTTCATTTCCTTTGTTTAAAATAAAAGAGAACATACATTAAAGAGATATAAGTTTTATAAACATGATAAACAGATAATTTTTTTGCTGCATTTAGCTTGAAGTGTTTTATGGGCTTTTACTTCTGTTCGTTATGCTCATAGTACATCTGAATATGAATGAAGAGGTACATACGTATTTTAAAATTATCAATAACGGCTTTAATTTTCTCTGACGAATCCGCAAGAAATAAATGGCCACCTGCTGCGACTGATTCACAGTATCTCTGTGCTTCAAAATGGGTTTTACTTTCATTAACATATCTGTAGCAGCCATATGTTCTGTTGTTGTAGATGAACCCGTGATTTCCACTGCATTCTGAAAACATTATCGTTTTATTCTCTCATTTTACTATCATTCATTATTATTATTATAGAATAATATTCTAATTTTAGTTGTAACACGTCATTTGATTGGTGAAAGGTTTCATCCATTTTGTATTACATAACTTGCCTACGTCACAATGAGTTACCGCTTCGCGCTTTATAAAGCGTAAACTGCTCTAAAATTATGTTATATCGTATTACAAAAGTTGAAATAAGCTCCATTCCTTAAATACATATGGAATTTTCCTTTTGTGTACATATCATTTCCTTATTATACATTAATATTCCTTATTTTAATGAATTGTAGGACTAACAATGTTTATTCGACATACTACATCTTTGCTGAGATTTATCCGAGGTTTTCCAAGTTCCATCCATACGACAATTGTGAGTGACATTCACGTCCCTGTTTTTTTCACAGTTTAAGTAGACGGATTCCCCAACAGATAATGTGCTACTCCATTGTCTTCTATTCGGATGGAAACCCTTAAATGTCCAGGGAGGCCTGCATTCTGTAGATATATGTTAAAATAAATGTTATCTCTATTAAACGATCGCGCAAGGGAGATGACATGTTTAAATTAAAATTTGGAAT